TATTCTTAAAATTATATCCGAAAATAAGCACCTCTTATAACAAAAAAGGGGTGCTTAATTTCGGAACTATACGGTATTCACGTGTTCAATTTTTCTTTTATATTTCTTTATTCGGAGGGTGGGATGGGTGCAGTAATATGTACAATCCGTTTTTTTTTTATCAAATCGAATGTTATTTTATTTCGCTAAATTTTGTAATAAATAAGCTTTTCTAAAAATTTTTATATATGCAACTCTTAAGTGTGTCATGCCCGACTCTCCTTTATTTGTGTGTAATAACTAACGAATCGTCATTAATAAAGCTAAAATAGATAATTGTCTGGGAAACTTAGATCCCAAGTTCAAGACACAAGGCAGTCCTTATATACTTTTTTAGACTTGCAAACGTGTTAAGACAATACATTTTCGCGATGTGGTATAGTTGTTTCAAATTACGGGATTGAAGTTCAAAAATCGCTTATTTAGCTCCAAATTCGATTTATTTCTTAAACAAAAAAATATCGAGCTGTGAACGCTTTTAAATTTTCTTTGTTTTAACATTACACCATCCCATTTCATACCTTCCTTATTTAGAGGTAGTCTCTTATTAGACATTAATCATACTATTACACAGTATTTTGGTTCACTGTCAGGTGAAGTCGGCTGCGAAGGACGAACTACTATTGTCGACAATGATTAAAATACTTAGCAATTATTCTTTTATCACTTTCAAATATTCGCCCGGTAATATCTATATCAGAGTTTTCATTTAACAAAACACCATCAGCAATAATTTTCCCACAATGATAATATATTATATAGGGGAGTTTGAGGAAGATGATGGCGTTCGTAAGGTTGATGATATGGTAGTATCCGATAAATTACAAAAGTCCAAAATCTTATCTAGACCCTCATTTTAAATCGCTAGTCTTGAATTATATAGAAAAAGAATATGGATAATTCAAAATGTGAAATAATGATCTATGTTGAGAATCTGATGTTGATAGTGTGGATATTATGACAAAAATTTCAAGACCTTTGATAGAGTGTTGTTAATTTGTTTCCAGTAGAAATTCTCAGCCATCCAGTAGAAATTTGTAATAGTAAAAGTTCCAGTAGTACTATTAATTTTCTTCCAGTGGAGTTCCAGTTGTCTTCCAGTTAACAACACTACTGTAATTCGTTTCTGAGCTCTTAAATAGTTATATAAAATTGGTGTTGCAATAGTTGATTAATATTTACAAACTACTTACTAATAATAAAAAAAAAAAGATTAAAATCACGACTCTAATTCTAAATATTATGCATAGTTTAACAAGAATTAATTAAGTACATATTAATCTAATATCGGCAACTATCCCAACTCGCTCAGTGCTCATATCGTTGATATAAGCAAGGATCATTCCCTTCTATTTATCTGTCATATGGATGCGTTACATTTCATAACAATTAAAATTTGGTCTTTTTAGTGGTCTGAATTGTATAAACCCTTCCTAATTAAGCGTATGCCCATATGTTCGTCGAAGTAATCCAACAATGTCCACAGTGAGTTACTCTTTCCCTGAAATACGAGTATCGTTAAGGTAGAAGATAGATTCAGACATTAGCTGTAGAATCAGTTCTTATAAGTTGTAGACGTTCGTTAACTCCTTGAATAGCTAATCTGAACCAGACCAACTTATTTGCCGGCCACTTGCTGCGCCAATGCCCAATGTTTGAAGTATCGTTTTTGATACACCAAAGTTCAGATTTAGAATAGTGTGAATCAAAAACGATACTTTTTGAGTGGCCGGCAATTAAGTTGGTATTTTACGCCCTGATCTGAACCAATGTTAGAAAATATTAAAAAAAAAAAAAGTATGATTTAACTACTTTCAAACATCACACGCTCTAAATACTAGAAACGATCAACAAAAAAATTTAAGACTTAAAGAACTTCGTGTATACCATTGAATAATGTGCTATTATAATAACAATAAGCTTGTATTAACGCTCATATTTTGCGTATTTCTAAATTAGTAATTTTGGGTTAGGCTGATAATATGTACGTAATATGCTCAGTATTTGAATTTGTTGGTTTATTAAAAGATATAACTCTAAATGGTATAAAAATGTTCGAATCCTTCTAGCCATCTAAATTTTTTTTTTTTTAAGCCTGTTAATAAACCTCGGTGTATTTTATAAATTGTTATTTAAATTTTAACTTGCAATTTGATAATTTGCTCTACAATTTTAAAATTTCTTTGATGTATTAAATTGTTAGATGTATATGTAAAAAAATTGCTTATACAAAATAAAATGTCTTCAAGAAGAAATTATTTGAAAAAATAAATTGGTGTGACAAACATAAAATTAACCTTTAATAAATTTTGTAAAGTAGTTAATTGGCTAATTTTTAGTTTACGCTCTTTCAAAGATAATATGCATTCTTTTAAATCAAGTTCTTTTTCCTATTATAATATAGGTTTATCAGGTTAAATGAAATAACTGTGTAAATTTACAAATTAATTTAATTTACTCACTTTTCAGATCTAACTTATGCTTGCTTGATTTCACGTCTTTCAAACTTTTTGATTTCTTCGATTTTTTAGTTGGGTTTGATTTTTTGCTTTCTTCTCATTTCTGGAAAACTCCTTATTTTTTGAATTTTTGCTTGGCTCTTCCAGGTCTTTATGTTTGCTTGATTTTAAATTATCCAAATTTATGGGATACTTAGAAGACTCTCTGTGTTTCTTCTTGCTTGATCCACTTTGATTAGAACCTAAATTTGTAACTTTTTTCCCACCATTTGTGCAAGAAATTTCATTAGAACTTGAATTATTTTCATTTAAAATTTCCTCTTCATTGTTTGCTTTCAAAATATAGAAGTTATTGTTAGATAAACTTGATTTTACACTTTTGATTGGTTTTGGGTCTAAATTTTGGAAAAACCTAAATTTTTGTGTACCCTTTTATGTTTCTTGCTTGATCCACTTTGATTAGAACCTAAATTTGTAACACTATTTGTGCTAGAAAAAATTTTATCAGAACTTGAATTATTTTTATTTAAAATTTCCTCTTCATTGTTTGCATTCGAAATATAAAAGTCATTGTTAGATAAACTTAATTTTATACCTTTGATTGGTCTTGAATCTAAATTTTTGTAAGAACCTAAATTTTTGTGTACCCTTTTACATTTCTTGCTTAATTCTAGAGAATCATCAGAACTTGAATTAGAATCTAATTGTGTATTATTCTTTTTGTTTTTTGAGCTTGTAGGTTTACCAGAATGCATTTTTTTAAGTTGTTTTTAAATTTTTTTTTTGTTTCAAGTTATTTAGTTTCAAATTTTTGAATGATATATTTTGTCTTTTCTTTTAGTATACTCTTTATATGTTGTCAATTTAGGATCTTCAGGATTTTTATAAAGTTTTTTCAATGCTATTTTGTCATTTTTCAGTACATTCATAAGTTTTATATCAGACTATTTATTACCAGTAATAATAAATTAAAAGAATATTAATAAAGTACATGACTAAGATCTTAAGATTGTTAATATTAAGGAAGGTGCATAACAAATTCTTTATTGGAATTAGTAGATCTTAACAAATCAAAATTTCATCTCTGCATTAAATAACCAAATCTGATCATTGCAACCTTGCAAAGTTATCCTATACAAAATACTTGTATAGTAAAAACAGTTTAGATTGATTCTACTATATTTATATATTAGATCTTGTATGGTAAAAAGATAGTTAACTGAGTATTCAATTCTGCTACATTTACACAAGAGAACTTATATAATAAAAAATATAGTAAAGGCTCTTATTATATATACTACATATTACATAAGCTAGCTTGTATGGTAAAAAGATAGCAAAGCTATCAAGAAATACTATTAGTCACAGCTAATCTATAGAAAAAGTTTTTGCAAGGTAGAGAGCTTACGAATTTTTATTTAACTATTGCAAGTCAAAGCCATAACCCACATAACCCTATTGAAAAAATTGTTATGTATATTTTTAGTTTTGATTAACTCCCTAGCTCTTTCAATAACATCTTTGGGAAAATTTCTATCTAAAACAATTTTATATAGCTTGTCATAGAAGACCTTATTAATATTTTTTGAATTATACTTATTTGTTGTTTGATATATATAGCTGCTGAAGCTTGGGAGGAACCAATTCTTTAGTTTTTTGTAGAAATAAGTATCATACATCTTGGCTATTGTAAAATAGTTTTTGAAAAGTTTTATAAAAAAGGTTTATATAAAAGTTTTTTAGTTATGAAAGAAATTAAAATTTTTTGGTATAAAGATTGTAAATTTATAAAATCATTGGTATCACAGTTGACTTATATTGTCTATCAAAAACATTGTGATATCATAGTTGACTTATGTTGTCTATCAAAAAAAAAAAAAAAATTACAAACATTAAAGAGTGTCACAGTTAATTTATATTGTTTATCAAAAATATGAATTAAAAAAATTAGAGTATTACAGTTGATTTATGTTATCTATCAAAAATGTAAATTGAAGAAAAATTTTTTAAAAATATATATAGTATATATATATATAATTTGAAATAGGCTATCGCTATTTTTTAAAACAAATTAATAAATATATTAGAAATGTTAAGTACTGAAATAGTTCAAGCAAACTTGGTTTATATTAAGCATAGATATTAACTAGTTCTTTCTAATTGAACCAATATTAAAGATTGAACTTTGAGAGCTTTTTTATACTAAGTTTGAACTAAGTTCAAGCTGTGTTATTATTTTAGCCAATCAGAATGCATATTAGCTATGTAATCATATACCTTTTGTGTTGTAGGCTTAAAGAAAGACATAATATTTGTTGCCGAATTTAGCTACTAAACCATATTAAAGAAATTGGAAAGCAAAATATTACTGTAAAAATTCATATACAAGACCTGGATCTGTTTCATTTCACCAATTTAAACTATTTAGTAGACCCAGGTCTAGTATATTCACATAAGAAGAAAAAAATTTAAAATATGTATATACAGTATATACACACTTTGTATTTATAATGGGTATTCTAAAAACTGTTATTGAGATGTATATCAGTTTTATGTAACATTGAGTACATCAATTTTTCTATTAGTCATTACTTACCAAGTTTACTATTTTTAACTCATAGAACATTGTTTATTTCTTCAAACCTTAGTCCACGATTCATTCAGTAACCTAATTTAGCTTTTTTAATATCCATTGCATAAGGTCTTAAACTTTCTTTAATAAACTTTACTCTTGACTCAGGCAATTTGTCAGACAACATGAGACTATTCTCAAATTATTTGGCAAATATTCTCAACTGCTATCAATATTGGTATTACTTATATTAAGTTCTCTTAAATTGATCAAATTGTTTCAATATTAAAGTTTAATTTTTATATTTATTTTTATATGAATAAAAGTTTATCCAGAAATTTATTATATAATAATTTGATAATGAATTACAAGTTGTTAATTATTTTTACATTATTGGGAAACCTTATGCAGGTTATATATTAAATTATAAAGATTTTTCATAGCCTATAACTTGTCTAAAATTTATATAGCAAAATCTATTTTTTTCAAATTGCTAAGGTTCCAGAAAAACTTAATCATTTATAAGAAAAATTAATATAGTTTTATTGAAAACAATATATAAAATACTAATATGGAGAGAAAATTTTTGTTTAATATAAATTTTTAAAAATTGTAATAAAGCAAAAAAATAATTTTATAATAGAAATATTTAAGAGTTTTTTTGAGCAATTTACTATTTTAAAATCAAAAAAAACTTACCAAAGTATAAAACTATAATCTATTCTTTATTAGTTTAAGTAAAAATTATATCTTTATCATTAAAAATAAAAGAGGAGTAGTGATTTAAAAAAATGTATTTTACTATATAAATTTCGAAAAAGTCATAGGTTATAAAAAAAATTCTTTTAGCATGGACACAATTTACTAACTCTTCCCGACAATCACTTGTACCAAATTTTGCTAAAACAAAACTCAAGTTTTTTCAAAATGGTGCTTTTTATCATACTCTTTTAATTAACTTTTGTTGTTCTACACCCCATTTTACATATAACTACCAAGTTTTATAG